TGACTTCCTGGGGCAGCAGGGGCTGTCAGGAGGTGGAGAGGAGGCCAGGAGCCAGGGCTGAACTAGGAGGGTCCCCGAGGCAGGAGCTGGCAGGGCAGGGCCAAGTGGGAGGCAAAGGGTCCCCCAGAAGTCTGACAGCCGTTATCTCCAGGTGGTGGGATTATGGATGACTTCCGTTTTCTTCTTCGTGTTTCTCTGTTTTGTGTTTTTTTGCAGAGCGTGCTTATTTCCAGTGTCATCAGAGAAACAACAATCCTGTAGTTGATTTTTATGGGATTTTGCTCTGTGCACTTCTGTATAATTTGAGTATTTTATAAGGAGATTATATTTGTTTTATAATAAAAAACAAAAGGCAGCCAAATAGGCAAGAAGAGCATGACCTGTGGCTAAAGGATTAGGTCCTAAGAGACTGTGAAGAACTCCTGTGGGGCCACGGCTTGGGAACCAGGGCGTGGAAACCACAGTCAATGTGGGACGCGCAGTGACTGCACCACATTCTACTAGTCATGTTCTTTCCAAATGTGACTTCTGCTGGGCACATGGGATGTCTCGAGTTAACACATCAAGTCATCTTAGAACGTCTGACGGAAGACTTAACCCCTTAATTCCATGAAGGCAGATCCGGATCTCTAATTACTTAATTGAAAAAAGGTACACACTTCAGGCTGCTGCCGAGTCTGGGAATTAATCTTTAAAACCTGACAATGAACATTAAATTCAATTAGGGAGAGCGATTAGCAAAGATTCTTCTCTCCTCCGCCCTGGGTAGCTTTGAGATGTGGCTGACTAGTCCGCATTGATTCTGATGCTATCGCTGTGTATATATCAACCAGGGGAGCCAAGTATGCATTTTCCACTTCAGAGAGGAGTTATCGGGCAATTTACAGATTGATGGATTTCCTTAAGCACTCCATGGCTGATTCAGGAGGCCTCCTGGCCAAGAATTCAAACATCCTGGTGTGCTGCTTTTGGCCTTGGTGCCAGAGTTCAGCTCTCTGCTTTCGTCTTTCTTTGATTACGACCATGATCCATCCTTCTTCCTCCTCTTCCTTCTCCTCCTCCTCCTTTTCCTGCTCTCGCTCCTCCCCTGTGCCCCCTCCCCTTCCTGCTCCTCCTTCTCCCCCTCCTCCTTCCTTCTCCCCGTCTTCCTCCTCGGCCTTTCCTTTCTTTTCCCTCTTCTCCTTCCTCCCTATCCCCTTTGCTTTCTTTTCTCCTCTCCCCTCCACACCTCCTCTTCCCTCTCTTTTCTCCATCGCTCCTTCTCTCCCTTCTTTTTTTCCTTCTCCTCTCCCTCTTCATTAACATTTTTATTTTAAATTATGAAATATCTTAAACATACTCAAAAGTATAGAAAGTAACATAACAGACGCCTGTGTAGCCAGCATTCAGATTGTAGGATCCAGGTTCTGGTCCCAGTTCTCATCCCGTCGACCTCTCAGCAGCATTTGACCCTGTTGATCACTGTCTTCTCTTGGCTTCCAGGACACTCCGCCTCTTCTGTTTTCTCTCCCACCTCATTGGCCTCTTCTTCTCAGATTCCTTTTCTGGTTTCTCCATAGCGCCCCCACCCCGGCCCTGGCTGTGAACCCTGGGCCTCCTCTCAGCTCCGTGTACATTTGTTCCCTTGGAGAAGCTCATCCAGCTCATGACTGAAACACCGTCTTTGGCAGTGACTTCCAGAGCTCAGCCCCGACTATGGGCCTCTCTTCTGGACATCGCACTCGTGTATTCACTGGCCTGCTCTCTGCCGTTCAAAACCGAGCTCCTTGTCTTCCTCCCTCAGACTTGCCCCGCTTGTTGGCTGATGCACCCCTGCAACTCCTTTCTTCTTGGTGCTCCGGCCCAAACCTCGGGAGTTGTCCTGGGCTTTTCTCTTGCCCTCCTACCCCACCTTGCACCCAAGGACATCTTGTTGGCTCTGCTTTCCAAGCGAGGCCACTTCTCCGTTGCCTCCACCTGGTCCAAGCCATCCTCTCTTCCCTGGATTCTTGCAGAAGCCCCTCACCATCTCCTTTGCCCCTCACACACAGCGGCCCAGGTAGCCCTGTTCCTGTCTAGAAGGTTCTTCCCCAATTTCTGTCTAGCTCCCTTCCTCAGCCCTTCAGGTCTTCCTGCAGCTGCCTTCTCTGAGAGTCCCTTCCTGGTCACCATTTCAGCCCCTTTTCTTGACCTTTTGGCCCCTTCCCGCTTTCCTTTTTTGGAACTTCAGTCTTTTTCACCACCTTATGTACTATATAGATCCTGCTTGTCTTGTTTCGTGTCTGTCTCCTTGCCTAGAATGTAAACTCTTTGAAGGCAAGGGGTTTGTCTGATTTGTTTACTGCTGAACAATGCCTGGCTGAGAGCAGGGACTCAGGAAATGTTGGCTGAATGAATGAATGAGTCTCACGGTGGAAACGTTTGGGCTTACTTGCTCCAGAGCATATTGCCTCTCTGTCTCTTTCCCGTCCTTAGAGAAGGTACAGCGCAGCGATCCAGCTCCCTTACCCCGAAGCTCCCCCCACCCCCCGCGCTCCCTCTGTTCCCAGGAGCGACCACCCTCTCCACACATGTTTTTCTAGTCTTACTAAAAATTCACAAATAAACACAATAGAGTTTTGCTTTGTGTGTGTTTTTAAAATTGTGGCGAAGTATACATAACATAAAATTTACCATTTTAACCATTTTTAAGTGTATGGTTCAGTGGCGTTAAGTACATTCACATTGTTGTGCAACCATCACCACCATCCGTCTCCAGAACTCTTTTCATCTTGCAAAACTGAAGCTCTGTCCCCATTAAACACTAACTCCCCATTGGCCCCTCCCCCAGCCCCTGGCACCCACCATCCTACTTTCTGTCTCTCTGAATTGGATTGCTCTGGGTACTTCATGTAAGTGGAATCGTACAGTATCTGTCCTTTTGTGACTGGCTTCTTTCACCTGTCATAATGTCCTCAAGGTTCATCTGTGTTGTAGCATGTGTCAGAATTTCCTTCCTTTTCAAGGCTGAATAATGTTCAGTTTATGGATATACCACATTTTGCTTGTCCATTCATCCATCGATGGACGCTTGGGTTGCTTCCATCTTTTGGCTCTTGTGAATAAAGCTGCTGTGAACGTTGGTGTACAAACAGCTCTTTGAGACCGTGATCTCAACTTTTTGATTGTATATATACAAGTGGAATTGCTGGATCATATGGTAACTCTATGTTTAATTTTTTGAAGTACGGCCATGCTGTTTTCCGTAGTGGCTGGACCAGTTTGCATTCCCACCAGCAGTGCAGAAGGCTTCCAATTTCTCCCACTTCCCCACCAACACTTGTTCTTTTCTTTTCTTTTTTTGAAAGAAGCCATCCTAATGGGTGTGAGGTGGTGTTTTGTGTGTTTTTAAAACTTAGATGGCCTCGTCCTGCATCCATGCAGCTTGTCCTCTGTACTCAATATTATGTTTTTACTGTTAGCTGTGTTAACCCTCTCGATCTAGTTCTTTAACTTTATTTTTTCTATTAAAATCACACTGGTACATAGTTTTGATGCCCGCTACCCTTCTACCATGAATTCCCACTCCACTTTGAAGTCTTCTGGATGTTTCCTCTGTTATTTCTGCCCATATTTCTAAATGTAAATGTTGCTGTTTCTTGGTTTTTCAGCTTGAGACCCCAGCTATCGGTCCCTATTAGGGAAGAAAGGAGCCGAGCTGTCTTTGTGTTCTTTGAAGGCTGCCATTGGCCTGTTGTGTTCTTAAGCTTAGACACTGACACGTGCCCAGGAAACGTGCCTCAGAGCCCTGACCCTTTGCATTTGAGAGCCTTCAGCACGTGGTATGATGAGTTTCCCATCTTGAAAGGGAGGGTTGTCTCTAGGCTCAGGTTTGTGGATGTGTGCGGGTACATTTTGGGTTTTTCTCTTATTAAGGAGATGAAGCTGGGGTTCCCTGACGTTGCTGAGGAGCCCCTGACTCTTGCTGTTAGGAACCGTATACACTGCAGTTGTCAAGCAGCATCATAGTTCCTGCTGTGCGCCAGCCACAGTGCTGCGTGCTCCGTCCTCACTTGCTCCTCCCCGCTGCCCTCCAGACAGGACTCTTCTCTTCCTGACTTTACAGAGGAGGAGACTGAGGCCCCGAGAGGCCACGTCGCATGACCGCCAGCAGCAGCATCACGTGGGAGGTGCTTGGCTGCAGGTGCCATCCCTGATGGGGGACGGGAGCATCCCCTTCTTCCTGTGGTGACAGGGAGGTTAGGAGACCAGCACTGCTGAGCACCTCCACGTGCCAGGCCTGGGGCCAGCCCGTCGGCTTGTGTGGTGGTCGGCGGAGTTTCCTGGGAGAGCTGGTGAAGAGCTGGACCAACCCCCTCATCCATGGGATGTACGGTCCTATAGCTGAGGACTTAGAAAGATGTTTCAGACGTCATTAAGTGTCCTCAGAGCTTTCCACCATGAGCCTCATTCCCCCATGGAGAGCCGTGGTGGGAAAGAGGGACGGTACCTTCTCTCCCAGAAAAAAGAAGAGTTGCCCTTCAGGAGGTATCTGCTCTTTGCCATTTGTAAACACAGGTGTGGCAGGCTCTGTTTTGGATCTTGGTCTTAAAGCAGGATGTGTGCAGATCGCCTGGCCTGGTGCAGTGTCCACTGCAGGGCTCAGACAGCCCCTGTCAGAAGACAGATATCGGAGATGCAGGCGAGATGGGGCTAGCACTGTGAGTGGAGAGGACGTCTTGGTGGTGAGCAGGTGTGGAGCGGGTGTACAGGACGGGTGGCAGAGCCGCAGCATACAGACGCTGTTTTCTGTGGGTTCCCTTAACCCCAGGAAAACTTTTGGGAAAAGCTCCCCCTCAACTTGCCAGCCCCAGGCCTGTCTGTTTCTACGAGGACAAGTTTAACATCTACATATTGTCTTGGTGGTAAAATAACGGGAATCTAGGCCCACCGTGGGGCCCTTTCCCTATGCAGAGGGCCTGAGCCTAGCCCCAGGGTCCGGGCCCCAGTTTGTGATGTCCGGTGCTGTGTTTGCCTCCTAGGTGTGGAACGCTGTGGACTCAGGGGGCTGCTTGCAGACCTACTGCCCGCACAGCGAGGCCGTGCGGGCTGCCCGCTGGTCTCCCTGTGGCCAGCGCATCCTCAGTGGGGGCTTCGACTTTGCCCTGCACCTAACAGACCTCGAAACAGGTATGTTCCGCTGTATCGTTACCTGAGGCGCCCCCTCCTCAGAGCTGGCGACTGAGCTGGCTCTCTCAGTGGGGAAGCTTCTCGGGGTGTCTGCAGCTGCATCCGGTTTCAGGGCAGTGGGATGTGGGCCTCAGGACAGGCTCACATCGGAGCCTATCCTGTCACATAGAAACACACTCACATGAGTGTGTTTCTGGGCCCTTTGCCTGGAACCAAGACCCTCCATGGAGGGTTCGAGGTGGGCCTCTGCCAGCTCACCCGGAGGACAGAGCCCCAAGGTTGTCTCAGCTCCAAGCTGTGGGGCTGGATAAAGAGGTGGCTTTTTAATCAACTTCTGACATGTAATTTGTACTGAAATAGATTTAGCTTTATCACAGTGTCCTTTGGTTGGAATCAGTTTAGAATTCCTGTCAATTCATTATCGTTGAAAGGCTGTAAGGAATGATTCCAGCTCATAAGGAAAGTCTGCAAACGAGTCCTGCTTTAATGCCCGCACTGAAAAGGCATTTGGGTGAGATGGATTTGTGCTGGTAAATCCTAAGGGGACTCTTAACAAGCAGGGCGAGAAGGAGAGAGAAGTCGGTGGAAGGAACTTTCCATTACTGAGCACTCCTGTGCGACAGGCCCCGTTAGCACCTAATGTGGCTGCAGCCCTGAGCGGGGTTCAGGTGAGGACAGAGCCAGGAGCGGGTAACCGGGTCCCACCTCTGCCCCTGACTCCTAGTCCGGCTGCTTTCGGCACCCACGCTGCCTCCTCCTCCCTGGGCTCCTCCTGGGTCTTGGTTCTACTGGGCACCACTGCCAGGGCCAGGAGGGGAAACCAGAGGTCATGCCAGTCCCTGGGGCGTCCCTTGAGACCCGCAGGCAGCCCCCGCCTGCCTGGCCCAGCAGTGGTGGTGCTGGGGCCTGTGCCCCTCCCAGGGCCTGGCAAGCAGGAGGTGATGACTCAGTCCACATGCACAGCTCCTCCCCAGCAGCTGGGAGGTGCAGGGAGGGAGTGCGGCGGGTGGTCTGGGGTACCTGTGGGGTGTGTTTCATACCTTGAACGTCCTCATCTCCTTCTGGGCCACTGAGGGGTGGCCTTGAAGCTCCGCTGACTGAGCCCCATGGCTCTCAGGAGGGCCGGTGATGAGACTGGTGATGTGTCAGCGGCCAGTACTGTACCACAGGCTCTGCGCACGATATGTCGCTCCTCCCCACAGCTTGCTGCCAGCCATGGTTCTGCCCATTTTACAGGCGAGGAGACTGCGGCTCAGAGGGCGGAGCAGCTTGCTGAGGCCTCCCGCTGGTGCATGGCCAGCAGGGGTTTGGAGCCATATCTGTGCAACTGCAAATCTCGTGCCCTTTCCACGGTGCTGAGCGTGTGGTGTTTTCTTCTCAACAGAGGGTTTCCCCAGCTGCTGTGTCTCACTGAGAGTCCCACAGGGCCCATGAGGGAGCCACGGCTCGGGGAGTTGGATGCCACTTGGTGATGGTGGCACCCACTGTCCCTGATGGTGATGGTCAGTGATGATGGCAGCAGGTACTGTCACCGAGCACCCTCTGTGTGTTAGGCCTTCCTCTACAGCCTTATGTATGGGATCTCGTTTAGGCCCCACTCACCTTTGAGGCCGGTGCCACCAGAGTCTTCTCTTCACACACTGGCCCAGAGGCGTAAACCAGAAGTGGCAGAGCCAGGATGCACATGGGTCTGCCAGGCTCCAAAGCCTGTGCTTGACCATCACACTCCATTACCTGTGTGTCCAATAAGCCAATAAGTTGGAGTCACAGGTGTGCAAGACCTGGGACCCTCCCTGGAGAAGCTCACGTCTGCTGGGCAGACAGAGGTGCAGAGAGGGTCCCAGGTGGTGGTGACGGAGCAGACAGAGGAACTGTGAGCACATCTAGTCTGGAAGATCAAGGAAGACTTCCTGGAGGAAGTGGAACCCAAGCTGAGGCAGAAATTCAGGGGACAGAGAATCGGGGTGGAGGAGGCGTGGTTGAGAAGGAGGGAAGTGGGTTCTCAGCAGATGGAACAACGAGGACAGAGTTGTCACAGGAACAGGAGGCTTGTTATGGGTCTGGAAGTGTGGGGTGCAGGGAGCTGGGGGAGGTGAGTCTGGGGGTGCAGGAAGGGGAGCCTGAGCTTCATGCAGCTCCCCGCCTGTGGGGGGTGCATTCTCTAGGCCCTGCCCTCACTCCAGGGTCACTGAGCGCCCTTCCTGTGCCTCCCGCCCTCGGAGGGAAGAAATGATGCTTTTCACTTGCTGGCGATGCTGTCGGCTTAATCCGCGTTCATTTGACGACATTAATGGATTCCTAGTGGCTCTGTCTCTCCATCTATCTTCTCAATCAACAGATGTTAAGCAGACACTGCCGTTGTGTGTGTGGGTGTGTGTGCGTGTGGTGGGACTCTGAAGTTTTCAGACATGCAGAGTCTTCCTGCCTGATGAGTCAGGGCCTGCAGCAGCAGGTGGCAGCAGGGCCCACTGCTGCGTGTGGAGCAGGAGGGAGTCAGGACTGGATTTGCACTCCAGGCAGCCGTCCCTGGTAGCTGCAGCTGGTGGGGTGTGACCGAGGCCCAGTGGAGAGCTGGAGGAGGGAGGTGGGGTGCCTTGCCTGGTTGGTGGTACTGTCGTTGGAGGGAAGCTTGTCTGACCCCAGGCCCAGCGTACCCCTCTGCTGCCCTATGTGTCGGGTGGTACGGGAAGGCACGGCCCCCCGCCCTCAGGACTTTGCCCTCCCATTAGGGAGGGGATGGAAGACTTTTCCACTCCACCTCTCTGCTGGGAATGGCGCTGGCCACCTGGTTCACCTGTTGAAGGCTGGGTTTCTTTCCTTCAGGAGTTACTTATTGAGCACCTGCTATGTGCACGTCCTGGTGCTAGGGCTACAGTGGTGAGCATGTTGGATGTCCTTTGTCCCTTGGGGGGTAGGGTCGAGGGGTTTGGACCTCACCCGTGGGGAGGCCCTCCAGCCCCTAGATGGGGCCTCTCCTGCTGAGGGGGTTGTTGGTTTCCGTGTCTGTCTCCCTGGCTAGGGTGGGTGCTCCGTGAGGATAGGGGCCTGTCCTGGTGGTCTCTGTGTCTCTGTCACCCGGGCAGGGCTGGCTCGGAGCAGCTGCTTAGTGCGTGTGTGGATGAAACAGCGCAGGGGCTGGCCCTTGCCGCGCAGCGAACCCCATCAGGGCTGCCGGGGTTGGGGTGGGGGTGCCGCTGTGTCTCGATCCTCTTCCCTGCAGCCCACCCTGGCCTGGGTTGTGCCTGGTGTGTGGCTTGACTTACCTCATCCTTTCTCATCACCGAGTGTCAGCTGCCTCTTTGCTTGGTCTGCGTCTTTCCGCCCTTGGTGATTGGCTTTTTCGTTTCAATCTAATTAGAACTCCCGCCAGGAGAAGGCGACGCGGGGCGCGGCGCTTTGGGAATTAGTCACTCGGTGCCCATTGTCGTTAATGGGAATTTGGCGCCAAGGCCATTTATCCTGGTGTCCTCAATCAATACAGTTAAAAATCTGTGGATTCTGAAACGTCAATACCCGGCCTGAAATATGGAGAGCCAGCAACATTTTATCTCATTAATTTATAGTTCTGAAGGGCTGTTGGCTTATAGAACAACCATGAATCAACACTTAAATAAAATCCGCTCACAGATTAATTATTTTTGGTGCTCCCTGTCTCAGTCTGTAATCTTCCTAACAAAACGTCTCTGGTGCATTAGGCCGAGGCGGCCTCAGGGAACGCTGGCCGACCCTGTCAGGCCGCAGCACGCCTGCTTTCTGAGTCAGCTGTCCTGCCTGCCGAACCGGCCAGTCTCCTCAAAAACCCTCGAAGAGCTTCTTCCGTTCTGAGTGGTGCTGGTTTCTTGCAGATTCTAGCCCCCGGCTGGCCCCAGCCTGGCTGTGAGGCCCTGGAGGTGTGCAGGGCCTTGCACTTTGCATTTGTTGGCTGCTAAAGAGCTGGTCCTCCCCCTGGAGCCCCAGGGCCCTGGCCCCGCAGGGCACCCTGTCCTCCTTCCTGTGCCCTGGTCAGCTCTCCTGATGTGCCCTGGCCAGCCTGGGAGAGCCGTGCTATGCCGCCCGCTCCCAGCTCCTGGATGCTGGAGGCAGCCCAGGGTGCTAGAAGGAGCGTGGGTGGGGTGCACATGCGGCTTTTCTACTTACCGAGCTGGGCGTCCTCGGGTTCCTTCCCTGCGGTTCCCGCATCTGTGAAAGGGGAGAACAGTGCCTGGCTGGTGGGGTTGTTGAGGGAAAAGCTAAAAGCTGAGCTGCAGAGGCCCTTTGCAGAATGCCTGGTGCGTGGTAGGCGCTCAGCCTGGGGGCCGGGCCAGCCTTTCAGGGTTCTCCCAGCTTCTCCGTGACAAATGGCCACTGGTGGGCTAGCAGCTTCTTTCTTGTGATGGGACGGCAACTGCCCTTTATTTGGGGTGGCGTCCTCTTCACTCAGACTCCACTGCCCGCAGCCTTGCTGTCTCCAGCCCCTGGCTGCCTCCTGCTGCTCTGGTGTCCCTGTATCTTTAGACGGTGGTCCATGCTGCATGGAAATAAGTGGCCACCAGGACTGGACACATACATGACCACTTCTCTGTTTTCCAAGAAGTGTCTTCTGGTGTCTCCCTCGTTTTTGCATCATGACTGGGGCCCCCATCACAGAAACGCTACAAGGAGAAAGAATGACAAATTGGCTGAAGGCTTTCTATGGGCCAGTCCCCGGGCCAGGTAGCCCTCACTGCCTGGCCTGTATCAACCTGAAATGAATAGATGGAAATTAGACCTTTTCTCCTTACATATTTAGCCTCCACACTCACCTGTGAGGGGGGTGTTTTTATCCCCACTTCGTTGACCCAGAAACTGAAGCTGAGAGTGTGTGGTGACATGTGCAGCCAGCAGTGACAGAGCTGGGACCCAGCCCCGGCCTGTGTGACTGGCAGGGGCTCTGGCTGTTGAAGCCCGGGAGTGGCGTGCCCTCGCCACGTCTGTTTTCCTGCTGTGGACAAACAGTTTGCTTAAGCCGACACCTGGGGAGC